CAAAAATTCATAGCATTCCTATACTCTAATAATGAAGTGTCAGAAAAAGAAGTGGAAAAAATAATTCCTTTTGCAATTGCAGCAAAAACAAAACAAAACAAAAAAAAACCTAGGAATAAATTTAACGAAAAATGTGAAGGACTTATATAATGAAAACTACAAGATTTTAGGAATTTGACTTCAAAAGCAATGGAAGTAAAAGCTAAAAGAAATGAATGGGACTACATCAAACTAAAAAGCGTCTACTCAGCAAAAGAAATCATCAACAAGGTAAAGAGAGCCATCCGAACTGGAAAATATATTTGCAAGCAACACCGCTGATAAGGGCCTAATATCCAAAATCTATAAAGAAGTCATATGACTCAATAACAACAACAAAAAAAATGATCCAATCAAAAAAATGGGCAAAGGACCTGAACAGGCACTTCTCCCTAGATGATGTACAAATGACCAACGAATATTTGAAAAGATGTTCAACATCGCTAGCTATTAGGGAAATGCAAATCAAAACCACAATGAGATACCATCTCATACCTGTTCGAATAGCTATAATCAACAGAACAAGTAATAACAAATGTTGGAGAGGATGTGAAGAAAAAGGAATCCTCATACACTGCTGGTGGGACTGTAAATTGGTACAGCCACTATAGAAAACAGTTCCCCAAAAAACTAAGAGGAGGTTTTGAGGAGGTTCCTCAAAAAACTAAGAATTGATCTACCATATGATCCAGCAATCCCTCTACTGAGTATTTACCCCAAAGAGTTGAAACCCCATATCCAAAAAGATATTTGCACACTGATATTCATAGCAGCATTATTCACAGTGGCCAGGACATGGAAGCAATCAAAGTGTCTTATGATAGATGATTGGCTAAAGAAGCTGTGTTACATATATACAATGGAATATTAGCCAAAAGGAGAGATAAAATACTGCCATTTGCGACAACATGGATGGACCTTGAGATAATCATGCTAAGTGAAATAAGCCAGATAGAAAAAGTTGAAAATCACATGATATCACTTATATGTGGGATATAAACCTCAAAGCAACAAATGAACACGACAACACAGAGACTCATGGACATGTACTATGGACTAATGGTTACCAGAGGGTAGGAGGTTGGAGAAGAGCGGGTAGGTAGATGGTTAAAATGGGTCAAATAGGTGGTTACAGAAAGAAATCTATGAGAGGTGAACACACAGTGTAAATATATATATGCCTTACTGTTAAAGTGTACAGCTGAAACTTATTGGATATCGTTAACCAATGTCACCATAAAAAATTAATTTAAAAAAAAGATTATAGCCAAAGACAAATTTTATATAAAACTTTGAAAAGCTCATTTTCTTACTGATTGGCATGATTAGGCTCATGTAGATAATTATAAAATTAATATACATATGTGTTGGTTCATGATGACTTTAATAGGCCTATAAATGCATTTTAATTTTAATTGTTATTTTGGAACTAAAAATAAATAAGTTTATTTCTTTAATGTGAAACCTATACCTTTTGTTGTTGTTGCATATTGTTGCTTGATTCTGGGTTGAATGTGAGAAAGTTCCCATGGATGTTATTTTCAACTGAATGAGACAATTTCTGCCCTTGTACTTAATGCCTCTTTAAAAATACTTTCTCATACGTATAAGATAAAAATGGCAGCCCCCCACTCCCATCCCACTTCAAAACTGATAATAAACTCAACCAAATGATCATGGTCCCACTTTATAGGTCCAGGCGATCTATAACAATTACTAATGTGGCACCTTCATCACTCTGCATCATCTTTTGTGGAATACCCTAGTGACATCTTGTGGAACTACCCCCTCATGTTCCAGAGAACCCTATTTGAGAACCCTGCTCTAGGGACTTAGTTAATGAATACTGGGATAATGTGAACTCCTGTATGTAATTATTAATCTATTTTTTTTTATCTGTATACCACTTAAAGTCATGTCATCCATACCTTGAGAAACACTGCCTACCAAGGACAATTAAGATCTGGATATGTTTAAAAGAGGAAAAAGGGCATGCCAAATGAGAGTAATTAGAGCAAAGGCCAATGGGTAGGAATTTTATGGTAAATAGAACTGGCTGACACCAACAAAGAACTCGTTGACAACAATAGAGAGGCCTTAATTTGAGGGGGAAGGGTGAAATATTATTGAGTTGTAGAGGTCTTGAACTAACTATGGAAGAAAATGGTCTTGAAAATCCACTAAGGTTTTTAGGGTGAGTAAAGCTGATGAAAATTATTGGGGGAACATAAATCTGACAGGATGAGAAGAATCTAGAGGTAGACATGCATGTACAGATATGGAAATGAGAGCCAGAAATAGAACGATGGCAGTAGAAATAGGAATGTGATGGGTATGGGACACAGGTGAGTAGAGTTGATGGTATCTGAGATCAACCTGAAAACGAGCATATTTATACTAATGGTTATGGTATTTCCATTCCTAGAAATATTAATACTGTGGAATTGGGCAAAATTTTTTTGGAAGTGCTGCTAGGCTGAGCTATTTTTCTAGACTCACCGGGCAGTCCTTTTTTGGCCTTGTCTCCCGACACTATTCCTATCATTTCGTAAAGGAGTACAGACCCAGTAGTGCCAAATCTTCTGATTTTTCAAGAAAAAATAGAAATCTAGCTATTTTATAATATCTTCCCATTTTAAAATGTTAGCAGTTGAGTTTTTGTTTTATTTTCTTTTATTTGTTTATTTTTTTTGTAAAACATACTGTGGAGTAGGCTTAGTTGCCAAATTTCAACCTTTGTCTGGAATAGTGTGTGCTGCTTTCTAAAGTCATCTAGAAATGTATCATGAACCAAAAGTTAATAGTACCTTTTAGAATCCTTTGTGTAATGCCTATTAGCAGGTAGCTCATAGAAAGGATTTTTGTAGTAGCTAATATTTCTGTTTGGTTGAAATGTTGATTTGAATGTTACAAGCCTTTCTCTGTTTCTTCCCAGCCAGGTCTCTAGACAAACTTTATAACTTCGCTGATTGCTCTGGACTCCACCTGATTTTTGCTCTAAATGCACTGCGTCGTAATCCCAATAACTCCTGGAACAGTTCTAGTGCCCTGAGTCTGTTGAAGTACAGTGCCAGCAAAAAATACAACATTTCCTGGGAACTGGGTAATGGTAAGTAAGGATGTTATTTCTTCTGAATTGACAAGATAAAGGATAGCAAATAAGTTGGCCCGAAATATAGTCTGTCAGACCATCTCTAGTTCACTAGCCCAAAAACCATTTGGGATGTTAGCCACTGAGTTGACCTTCCAAATAGTAAAAGACAAAATACTGAAGGGCGGTAGATTTAGTGAGTCCACACCATTTGCATCTATACTCATCCCTAGTTACCCCATTTGCATCTATACTCATGCCTAGTTACCCCATTCCAAATATGAGGAAAAAGTCATATGTGATTTATAACTAACAAATTGATGTTAAACAAGGTACAACCTGTGTGAACAGCCTGAGCTGCATTTTACAGTGTGTGTTCTACAAGATGACCCTTATAATATTTCAAAAGAGCTTGGCCAAATATATTGGGGGGCTTCTCTATAGTATATACACCTCCGGAAGGATCATAATATACATTAGCATGCAGAAGATGTTAAGAAGTCCTGCTGTGATGAAATTTATGTAACTTTTTTTTAACCCAGCATTTCTTAAACCTTTTATCCAGGATTGGTTTTACGGGTGTACAACCTGTGCAGTCAAATATATCCCACACTTAGAAGAGACCCATGCTTGGCTTAATGATCTACTAATGCCATTTTGAAATTATTTCTTAATTTTTTAACAGGGAGACCCACATTTTCATTTTTCACTGGGCTCTGCAAATTCTGATTCTTTAATTAAAAGACATTTTAGAAAACCTTAGAACAAGACAATTGATTCTAACAAATCAAGATTTCTGTTAAAATTATTGTAACAAATTGATATCAATATTTTTGTTCATGGCCTCGTATATCTATAGCTAACCCAAATTTGTTTGGAGTGCCATGTATGAGGGCCTTATAAGAATAAGTGTCCTATTGGCCTATCTGTAGCCATTAACTAGAATGTAGTTTTCAGGTTTTTTCCTCTTTTCCTTTCTCTCTTCCTCCCCGGAGTGGGAAAATTGGGGAAGAGTTAGGAACCAGACAGAGAGCCACTGAGCTAAACAGAAGATGCTTTGGCTATAGAGGGGAAGTGCTGGGGTAGCCTGAGGTTGTTCATCTTCCCAACCTGTCTGGGTACATACATTCTGTGACAAGAGCAAGAATGATAGAATTAGCTTTGAACTAGGACAAATTATTACATAGTAGGCAAAGTCTTTTACTGATCTCTCCCCTTCTCATCTTCTATTTTATACTCCTTGACATTCTTTGGTATTTTATGTCGTCTGCTCATGACCATCCTCCTAACCTTACCCTGCTGCAATATCAGACTCCACCCAGTTTAGCTCTCTTCCCCAAACAGAATAAACTATTCTTCAAACAGTGTGTTCTCCAAACAGGGCATTAAACCTGTCATGAGGGACCAATTAGGTGTAATGTTTAAAATGGGTGAGTATAAGACAGCAAGGAGTGGTAGGGCCTCTGATGAACTAGAGAATACATGCTCTGCCTAAAGGCTGAAGGCTTTATTTTTGTTTGCTTAAAATATTGTGCTACTTAAATACCATTGGTTTATTTTTTAAAATTCAGCTAGTTCTAGATAAACCCAAAGCAATCAAAACATACCTACAAGTAATTGATAGGTAATAATTTCTCCAGGGTTTTTGGCATCGCTGAATGTGGGAGCTTGCTAAACTAAATAAATCTTTAATTAGTATAAATGGAGTGATACCAATTTCTATATATACCTATCCATTCCAGACAACTGAGAGCTTCCCTTCCCATCCACCTCCCTCCCCAAAATTATGCTACATAGTTTGGAGATGGAGCTAATTACATTTTTAAAATGCCGTTTAGTCCACCTTAGCCACACAACACTTGATTACCATCATCAAATTTTTATAGGGAGGAGAAAAGGCACAGTGACAGATAAGAAAATAAATAAGTATATAGATAGGAAAATAACCAAATCTATTAACTTAAAAATTCAATAAAGTAGAAAATATCTGGAAATGTTTTTATGAACATTTCTATCCAGGATGACACAGATGATGTTTGAGTCTCTAGTCAAGAAGACTAGAGTTTGTCCTTTCTCCTCCCACTTTCCTTTTATTTTAAAAACTGCATTTCTGATTTTTTGATATGACTAATAAATAGTCTGCCCAACTCAACATACCTTTTAGGGTTTGAGGAAGACTTTTTTGCTGCTTCTTCTAATTTATTTTACAACTACTGATAGTTTTTCTTGTGTTAGAATTATATCCCTTAAGATATCTTGTGTATTCTGCTCACAACTATTCTGTTGTATATTCAGACTCTTCCCCTTCAAAAATTATCTGCATGGCCATCCTCCTGGCCTAGACTTGCCTTTCCAAACTTTTATCTATTTTCTTCTTGTAACTTTATCTTTCTGTACAGAGGTAATAGTTTAATTATTATATCTAGATTTAGGGAGAGCCAGTGGAACTGAGCAGTCCTGTTAGAACTCACCTTCCCATATACCCACATCACGTTAACACAAACATTTTAGGCCAAGTCTCGTATTGGAAAATCAAAAGTAGGCATTTCTTTGGTTGTTTCTCCAAGAGTGGCTAAACTTTGGGTGACTTTTTTTTTTCCTTTAAAAGCAGTGAATAGCAAGATATACCCAATATCAAAAGGATGGGGAGCATGGCATAGGAAGTGCAGCGAGCAGTAATGTAATGACTACGTGTAGAGCCAGAGGGAAGATAAAATAAGTTGGGGGATCATTTCATAAATTATGTAAATGTCTAACCAATGTACTGTATACATGAAAGTAATAATAAAATAAAATAATATTCTAAAAAAAGTAAAGATTACAAAAGTTTAGGATGTCAAAATCTATGAAAGAATGACTTTCTTGATACAAGACTTTTAACTATATTTTGTAGATATAAAATGCTTCCTTAAATGTCATAAACTGTAAACTCTGATTTGATCAATGCTAGGTGACGATTATAATTATTTGCATTTCTGTTAATCATTGGTGAATATAAAGTAAGGAAGAGCCAGGAAAAGTTTGAAGCTGGGACTCAAACCTTGGAATTGTAGAATAAAAATTTTAGTCCGACTACTCCAGGGACATGATGTTTGTTGCTTAAAGTGCTATCTTTAACAAAAATCCTCTGAAAATAATGTAATACCTCTAACTGAACTCTACATGATGAATTGCTCCCTAAATTAAGTATGCTCCCCAAATTGATCTACATACTTCTGTGAGCAAGTAAAACCTACTGTAATTAATAACTTAATCAGTGTCATATATTCATCCCTACACCTGACCTATACATTCACCAATTATTCTCTTATGATTTTAGTTATATGACTCAGTTCCTTGGAACCAGATATCTACTGAGCAATTTCATAAAATAAAATTTTTGACCTTACAAAATTTAGCTACTTAGGGATGATGAATCTGGCAGCTCAGTTTTTCACTGATAAATATTGAGTGAATAAATAGTCATTTATTCACTCAATATTTATTAAGCTTTTAGTCTGTTTGTATAGATAAATGCATGCTGTATTTATGTATAGCCATTTATATACCTTTTGATTGTATATATTTGTGTATATATAAGAGTTATAGCCTTGTAAGGCCAAACACAAAGTTGAGCCACTGTCTTCAAACACACTACCAATTGTTTATGAGGCTAGGTCATATCTCAGCGCTTTAGAGAACTGTTTTCATATGATAGAGTTTTGATGGTTAGGGAAGGAGAAGAGGGAAAAATAAGAGGAGAGGGGAAAATGAAAACCATATGTAGTTCTTTACTTGCTTATTTTTCTCCTTTCCCACTCCCTGTCTGCTTCTTATCTTCATCACCTTTAGCTTCTCAGTTCTTTTCTGCATACCCACATACATACATATATATATATATACTTTCATGCCATTTATTCATTCCTGCATTTAGTGCATATGTGCTATTGAGCACCTGCTGTGCAAAATATTCCAAGTGCTGGAGTTGGAGTTGGAGGATATCCTTAAAGTCCTTCTCTACTGCTACATCACTTGGTAGAGCATACTGTGGAGGAGAATGAATATACACAACAAAGAATTCCTAGTCTCTAGGAGCTTGTTATGTAAAGGTAAAGCCAGGATAAACTCAAGACTTTTGAATGATGAAAACCCATATATTAGAACTGGAAAGAGCTTTTATAGTTAGAAAGGAGTATAAACTAAATCAGAGAAGTTATTAAACCAACACATAGGATAAAATACAAATAATGCATAAAAGTGTTGATAAATTTATAGTTTATATTTATAAACACTTCAGTTAATCTTTGATTATTAAGGGAATTTAGTGGTTTGAATTTCATCAATTCTTTGAGTTAATTGTTATAGTGGAGAACCATGTTCTCTCATAGACATGGTTTAGTGTTACAGTTTACAGTGTTTAGCTGTTTAGTGTCACAGGTAGTTGAAGAATGCATTTGTGGAATAGCTACTACGTATTGAAGGTTGGGCGAATTGTTGATATGACCAAGATCATTTGTTTTATTGTTATCATTGATATGACTCAGGTACAACTAACTCTTTAAGAAAAAGAATAAATAATTATCACTTCTACTCATTTCTTAAACATCCGCCTTTGTTTGCTTAGAACAGAATACTATGAAAGAGAACACATCTAACTGACATGGTCCAATAGATTTCTGGCCTACTGTTCTTAAATATTTTAAAACCTTTCCATAACTTGTAAAAGCTAAGATGGAATCTGTTGTTCTGACTTACCTCATTGACACGCCAGTAACTTCTCTGTCCATATCAGGTTGACAAGGACAGTAAACGTGCTTCGGTCATTTTTTGGCTTCAGGTACTGGACACATACCAGCAGTGCTGTTCATAGCATATGAGGACAACTCCATATCTCATTTAAAAGACTGTGAGCCGTGATTTCAACTATATGACATTCTGGTAAAGGTAGAGCTATAGAGAGTGAACACACCAGTGGTGCCAGGAGCCCAGGAGAACATAGGGAGAAATGAATAGGTATTGTATGGGATTTTGGGGCATGA